CAACCTTAGGGAGGAGGCTGCATGTGAAATGAGGAAAATCAGTAAATGTACTTAAAGACATCAAAAGAAGTTCAGTGAAACCTTGGGCCCTCCCAAGTGGCACAGTTCATAGACTTCTTAGCTTTGTGCCCTGGAGTCAGTCTCTCAGCCTGGCCTGTAGGTGGAAAGGGCCTGGCTTCATAGGGTAGTCGCAGGATGGGTAAGTTCATGAAACAGGACGCAGAATTTAGCAGTCAGGGCAGACCGTTATTGTAGGGCCTAAAGTTTATACAACTTGAGGGTCCTCCTAAAAACAGTGTAGTGTTACAGATGTGAAAGTAAGTGGGGGCTGGGGGGGGGGGAACTGCGCACTCAGTTGTCGCCTCTGTAGTTATGTATTTGTTTGAAGCCAGGGGAAAGCGGAGCCGTCGCTGCCTTCAGGTCCTGGCGCCGCTCGGCTCTCCTTCACCGGTGTGTGCATGACTGGACTTCCCCGCAGACAGCTCAGCCACCGTCTAGCCAGGCGAACCTGTTCGGTGTGCTCACCGTGACAAGTGTGGGCGCGGCTGGCTGGGAGTGTCGGCCACAGGGGAAGAAAGCACACCCCAGGGCGCTGGTTCCTGGGCACAGCAATGAATGGTTGGACTGGGCGGAGCCATCACTCTCTTCTGAAACCGTTTCCTCTCAGAATGGAAGAGGCAAAACTCAGTGCTTAAAGACCATTTCCTAACTTAGAGCTCTATCCACCACATCCTCACCCGATTGCATATCAGAAATGGTAATCTGCATCCCCCAAAACAAACGAACAGAAACCAGTTACAATCACCAAAACAACGCTATTTCAATGAGTTGTGCGAGCTGAACCCCCCTCCTCCCAGTACTGGGGATTGAGCCCAAGGCCTCTGCACTGAGCGAGTACATCTCTAAACCATGTATAATTTGTTTTTGTTTGTTGTTTGAGACAGGGTCTTACTAAGAGATATGAATTATTATTATTGTTTTTGTACCAGGGATTGAACTCGGGTCCTTGCGCTTGCGAGGCAGGCGGCGGAACCACTGAGCTAAATCCCTGGCCCTAGAGATATGAATTCTTAAGTTTACCCTTCTGAGTCTTTGTTCCCAGAGCCCACGAGGGGGTGCAGAATAATTGTAGTGTCTCGTATTTATGGAGCCCATTTCACCAAGAGCCCCAGAGTCTCCATATTTACTGTTAGTGGCACTACAAAGAATATTCCAGTCAGAAAACACCGAGGGAACACATTATTTTGATTTAGGACTAGAACACCTTAGTTTGTGTTTATCAAAGAAGCATGATTTTTGATAGCCATTGACTTAGTACCAAAATAGGACCAATGCATGCCCATCTAGCAGCGCAGAGTCTTCCTGTAGTTTTTGGAAATAAGCTGGCAGAGGTTCGCCACCTGTGAATGATTAACACAAATTTCTCTAGGCCAGCACCAATGTCTGTGATAGGAAAAGTCTGGTTGTTGTTCATATGCATGTCATTATGTTAAAACAAATATAATTTTGCCTTATTGACTCTTGAGAATCCAACACAGCACAGTGATCTGTCTGTCATTCTATGAATATATAATGAAACCCAGCTCTGCACGAGGCACTATCCTACTACAGTGGGGTCGCAGTGCACAGAGCAGCAAAAACCCAGTCCTTGTGGAACTGACATTCCAGTGGAGGAGGCATAATAAACAAGACAGATGAGACCCATACTGTGTTAGCTAACCATGAAGGGCTTAGTAGAGCTTAGGGTCGGGATGCAGTTCTGAGCAGCTTATAAGATAGTAGCCAATTATCAGGTGAGGTAGGTGCCGTTATTATTCCCATTCTATAGATGAGAAAAGCAAAAAACAGATTCCTTCTTGAATACCTGGTAGGTGACACAATGCAGCCTTGAACTCAGGTTCTGTGAGGACCTCAGCCAACATAGCCTACCACCCCCAAGCAGCTCATGGATGTCTAGTGGGGTGGAAAGTTCTATGGAGAAAAATCAAGCTGGGAAGGAGAAGGGCAGCACTGGGAGCTGGCGTGGAGTGTGCAGCTTTATGTGAGACAGGAAAGGCTCACTAAGGAAAGGGCATTTGTGTGAAGACCTGAACCATATGTCTGTCTGGGGAAAGCACATTCTGGGAAGAGAAAAGCTCCACGTGTGTGATGTCATGGAAACCAAAGGTTGCAGAGTAGAAGCTTTGGTCATGTGGCTGGGGCCAAGCAAGAGGGAGGAGAGTCAAGTAATTGGGACAGGCAGTAGAGTGGGACACATGGTGTAGGATCTTGAGGCCACTAAGAGAACTTCAACTGTTACTGACTTCAACTGTGAGATGAAATGCCAGCAGAAGCCCCTTTGACAAGGGGTTATGTGATCTGAATTACACATAATCACAGTGGTCTGACAGTTGTATTGATTATGTGCCAAAGTGGGACAAGGGTAAAAGCAAGGAGGTGAGATAAAAGCTAAATCCAAGAGATTATAATGGAGATGACAGGAAGTGGTCCAGTTCTGGTTATGACCTGCAGGTAGAGTGATGGAGCATGATTTGTTCTGAGAGAAAGGGTCAAGAATGAGTTTAAGATGCTTAGACTGGGGAACTGAAAGGATAAGGAAGCCTGAGGTGAAGTCTAGGGGGACAGAATAACAGGAGCTCAGCTTTGTATTACATTGGGATGTTAATTACCCATCAAGATGGGAGAGTTCAACTGGGGGCCTGGATAGATGAGCATAGAATCCAGAAGCGCTATGCACGCAGATATAAATTTGAAGGTCATAAGCAGATATGGGTAAAGCCAGGAAGCTACTTCAGAAAATGAAAGGAGTGAATGTAGACAAAAAGAGATGTGCTCAAAGGCCTTAGCCTTGGGTGGCTTCCTCTGTATTCAGAGGATACATTTATATTAAGGGGTCAGAGAGAGAAGGAAGAGCCAGCACAACAGACTGAGAAATGGTGATCTATGGGGGAGGAGAAAAGTCCTATGTGCGTAATGTTCTAGAAACCAAGAGAGAAAGTATTTTAAGAAGAAAGGAATGATCAGTTATGCTCAGTGATGTCCAAGAAGTCAAAGGCCAGGAATTGGCCACTAGGTTTGCACAGAGGTCCCTGGAGCCTTGAAAAGGCAGTTTCAATGGTGTGGTGGAGACAAAGGCCTTACTGTGATGTCACGAGAGGTTCTTGAAGCCTATTTGCAGCAGTTTTAAGAGAGATGAAGTGGAAAGAAATAGGTAAGCAAACATGGACAGTCCTTTTCAATGTGGAAAAATAGAGCAGAAGCTAAAATGTAACATAAACTTAAGGGGCTTATTTTTGTTTTTTAGGATGGGAAAAATAAGAGCATATTTGTAGGAATACAGGAAAATGTAGAAGAGAGGAAAACCAATGATGCTGGAGAGGGTCTGAGTGCTGTCCTTGACCAGGGCACAGGATGAACCCTTCTGTGGGCCTTAGTTGATGTATGCAACAGTGAGGAAGACAGAGAGGGCCAGGTCACCAGCCATGGAGTAGAAGGGTCTTTTCTAAGTGCTTCCATCTTCTCAGTGTCTTAGGAAATAGGTTAATAGCCCAGAGTGACATGTGGGAGGAGGTGTGGGAGGTTGAAAGAAAAGGGAGAAATGTAAAATAGTCTTTAAGAACCCAATGGATGTGGGAAACGGAGCCTCAGTATGGAAGGGAATAGGAGCACCTGAGGTTAATGAACATGAATTCAGAGTGAAGTGGAATGTTGTGGGTGTGTGCAGGGGAGGGGATCTAATGACTGACTGTGGACTCTGAAGTGGATGGGGCGAGCGGTGAGAACAAGGAAGGGTAAGAGAGGTGCAGATGCAGCAGGCTGGACAGATTTTAGACCCTAGTAGGGTGAGGTGTCATTAAAGTCTGAGTGCTAGAGAGATGGAGCTTGAAAAATTGAAGGTGGTGATTAGAAACTGAGTACTTGGAAGTGAGGTTATGAAGAGGCATAGTTCCTTGGACGGTACCATCTACATGTGATTGAAGATATGAGTGCCTAAAGTAGGTAGGGTATCTTATTACAGAATTCATTTGGTTAAGCAATAACACTTTCCTCTCTTTCAGTCCTGCCCCTGTTGAAGCAACTTCAGCAAACTGTCCTGAAGTTTTACTTCTCAAGTGAAGCCCAATGAAATTTTTGATACTTGGCAGCCCACAAGTCATGAATGACACATTGTGACTCACGGACATCTTGGCTTTTTGCATCCTGTACACAGACACATGACGAAGACGACTGATGAGGCTTTTTGAAGCAAAAAGATGAGTTTGAGTCCCAAATGAGCACTAACAAACACACTTGGGGATGATGAAGTATACCTGAGTAATACCTATAAAGTCAACGATTTAAATGGGGATATTTGATTTCCTCTAACCAAATAACAGATTACTGTACTTCCTTTTGTGGTTGCCATGTGTAGTGTGTACATTGTACACACTCCACATCCCTCCTTGATCTACCACTGAACTTCATCCCCAACCCCACATACCCTTTTGGTGGCACTGGGGATTAAACCCAGGGCTTTGACACTAACCTACATCCCTAGCCTTTTTCAAATTTTATTTTATTTAATTTTAATTTTTTTTTTTTTTTTTGGTACCAGGGTTTGAACTCTGGACCTTGCACTTGCAAAGCATGGGCCAGAACCACTGAGCTAAATTCCCAGCCCTTCAAATTTTATTTTGAGACAGGGTCTTACTAAATTGCCTAGGTTGGCCTTGAATTTGTGATCCTCCTACCTTAGCCTCCTGAGTGGCTGGGATTACAGGTGTGTGCCACCACTATTTACTCACATTGGAATTCTCTTAAGTGTATTGGTCCAAACAAAAAGTTAGGAAACCATGTATAGATGGGAAAGTGTAATTAAAACCCTTAATTTGGCTGGATTTTGTTTTTCAGCGAATGAGCTAAGTGAAAAGGAAAATATCTAAAGAATATAAGGTCCTACCAATAATCTAATTTTTTTTGGTACCAGGGAATCGAACTCAGGACCTTGTGCTTGTGAGGCAGGATTTGGAACCACTGAGCTAAATCCCCAGCCCAATAATCTAATTTTTGAAAAAGACAAAACTATGCAAAATTTCCAAATGAAGTCAAAAGGTAAGCAAAAACTTGGTCCATCTATATTAACTACAGTGCCAAATAATAAAAACAGTTAAGAACAAGCAAGATTCAAAAATCTTCCCAAAAGGTGAGCCTGAGCAAGCTTTAGATAATGTGTGAGCACAGAGAAGGTCACTGACTTGTTAAATGAAGATGTAAATGTGCCTGATCTGGAAGGCAAGGTGCCATACTTCAGATTAGAAAAACTGTAAGAAGGGGTTTAGTCATCAAGAAACTACAGCCGAGCCTCATGTCTTCTTCCTTGAGCTTTCTTTTAACCAGGGCAGTTCTCTGCTGCATCCTCAGGAATGGGAAGTTGAGAAGGCTCTGACCCAGCCATGGTAATTCTTTGTAAGACTCTTCACTACAGTTATCCTGCAGATGTTCAAAGACTTTTTCTTCCTTCTGCTCATTTTAATGGCCTGAGATAACAGATCCAAAAGAAGCCCTGTTCTTGGCTAAGTGTGAAAGTAGAGCAGCACAGAAAAAGACAGGAACTAAGGTTCCACAGCTGGGGAACATAGGCTGCTGTAGTCCAGGCAGTGGGTGGGTTTCCAAAGAGATGCGTCAGAGCCCTGCAAAGCTGTGACTGAGCTGTGCCTACACAGGGTGGGTGACAAGAACCCATTGGGCACAGCAGAGCTCTTTCCACATGAAGATATGCTTTGGGGAAATGTGCAAGTGTTAGTTCGTTTTTTTTTTGTTCATGCTTTGGAAGGAAATTTTGAGTTGCTTTCAGAGAAAAAAAAATTCCTGATAGAAGGGAAACAATGGTGGCTATAGTTTGATCTGACCAGACAAATGTAGAAATCTTACAGACGGATCCAACAATAATCTCCCATTTTCTTTTTCTTTCTTTTCTTTTCTTTTTTTTTTTTTTTTTTGGTACCAGGTATCAAACTTGGGACCTTGCGCTTGCAAGGCAGGCAATGGAACCACTGAGCTAAATCCTTGGCCATCTCCCATTTTCTTACAAATGAACAAACCCAAACATACATTTTTTAGTTTTAGGAGGGATCCCTCTAAGGAAAAGTTTGAGCAGATTTTCAGATACTCAGCAAATTATTCTGAGACATGGATTTTATTCTCAAGTTGTTATGTTGGTGTGTGTGTGTGTGTGTGTGTGTGTGCGCACGCGCGTGTGTGCGTGTGCAGTTTTAAGCACAGGATAATGCTAGGTCAATCTAAAGATGTATGTTTTAGCAGAAGCCTCTTTTTTTGAGTAATACTTGTAAATAGGAACATTTGATTCTGCCCCAAAGGGTGCCCAATGGCTTGGAAGACAGACAACACATTTTCAGCACATGCTGAGGTAACCAGTTAAAACTTGCCAAAGGATGCTTTCCCCTTTGGCTCATAGCTATTCATTCAAATTGGTTTTGACCATCCCACTTGCTCTATTTTTAATTCTTCTTTCAGTTTTAAGTCTTTCCATATAAGGATAGCAGGGAGCTACTAATTCTGGGGCTTCCATTTGTGACATTTAACTAGAAGGTTAAGTCAGGTTTTAGAAATCTCCTTTGTGTTGTATTTTTCCTCATGCTCAGTTTAAGAACACTCCAAATGTTAATACTTAATTACAGAAAATTCTATCAATTTGGAGGAAGTTGGCTATGGACTATTTTTCAAAGGTGTCCAGTAAAAATAAGTGATTCATTCAAGCAAAGTCTAGGCTACAAAAATTACTTGAGGAAAAAAGGCAAATCTCCCCATATAAAAAGTATCAAATAATTTTTGTAGATATGCAGCCTCAAGAAAGTGGAGGACAATGCCCCAGTGTGTGAGCATAGATGACAGATACATACTGACTTCCTCCCAAGAGTGTAATATGAGGCTGGGGATGTAGCTCAGTGGTACAGTGCTTGCTTAGCATGTGGAAGGCCCCAGGTTTTATCTCCTGTATCGCCAAAGCAAAATAAGACAACTCAGGGCTGGGGATTTAGCTCAGTGGTTCCACTGCCTGCCTTGTAAGCACCAGGTCCTGGGTTTGATGCTCGGTGCCAAAAAACAAAAACAAAACAAAAATAAGACAACTCAACAAAATAAAACAACTCACCAAAAACAAACAAAAGAAAATAAAACAACTCACCATATCATAAAGTAGCATGGAAGAGGGCTGGAAGGGTAATGTTACAGTGGAGAAAGCTGGTGAATCCAACTACAAGGAGGTGATCAAGAGTGAGCTTGTGCTAAGTCATGTGCATTGTGTAGCCTGGTTACAATAAAATGAAAAGGGCACTTGCCTTTGTGGTCTTCTTCCCCTAAACCCGTAACCTCTGTCTAACAATGAAAGGAATATCAGACAAATCACAGTGGAGGGCTATTTCCCAAAACACTTGACCCATGCTTTTCAAAACTATCAGGCTCACCCAAACATGGACTGCCATAGCCAAGGGGAGTCCAGGGAGATGTGACAACTAAGTGTGCAGTGGTATCCTGGATGGTACCCCAGAAAAGAACAAGGACATGGAGAGGGCCTGGGGATTAGTTTAGTGGTAGCATGCATGCTTAGCATATTCAAGTCCCTGGCTTCAATCCCCAGCACCAGTAAATAAATAAATTAAAGAGAATCTAAATACAGTATGAATTTTAGTTAATAACAGTGAACCAATTTTGGTTTCTTCATTGTAATAAATGGCCAGGCATGGTGGCACACTCCTGTAATCTCAGCACTCTGGAGACTGAGGTAGGAGGATCACCATGAGTTTGAGGCCATCCTTGACTATATAGTGAGTTCAAGGCCAGCCTGGAATACATGTGAGAACCTGCCAAAAAAGTTGGGATAAATGTACCATCCTGATGTAAGATGGGAAACTCGGGGTGGGTAATATGGGAATTCTCTGTATTATAATCTCAACTTTCTGAAAATCTATAGCTGTTCTAAAAAATAAAATCAGTTTAAGAAAAAATTTCGTCACTGAAAGATACGCCCCACTGCTCTCACTGAGTGAGCCTGATGCAGAAAGTCTGATAGTGAATTGAGCAGTTCTGAGCAGTTGCAACCCTGTTGATATGGACACTGCAGGCAGCAATGCTGGAAGTTTGTTTTAAAGCTCTTGGCTCTTGCCTTCTGGGCCCCTCATAAAGATAAGAGCTAATACTTAAACCATATGTTGTCCTGTGGTTTTAGCCCATTTATTGCCTTTCACCTTTATACCAGCCAACACAATGAACCAGGAGGGTATTTTTATTAACATTATTTTACTCATACTGAAAGAGGGTAAAACCTCACCCAAGATCACAGTACCTGTCAGGGTGGAGCTAGGATCCTAACTCACCCCATCTGGGCCCCAGAGCCAGAGATTTTTAATCTCTATCATGTGTGTACTTCCCTCCCCCATTCCCCCCTTGTTGTCCAGTCAGTTGGGGGCTCCTACCATTTACAGCAGGACTTACCTTGAGGATATGAATGGCCAAGTTCATATGAGACTTGGTGCCAGCTGTCCTGTGCAGACTTGTGGAGGAAGAGTGAAGGCAGTCAGGTGCTGAGTGGAGAGGGTGCACCTCTCCGCGGCAATGCCTGCCTTCCAATTCTTGTGCTGGCCTGTGTCCTACACTCAGACCCCACAAGGCCTGGGATACTGAATCCCACCCTGTAGTCAGTTCTAGCCCTCAACCTGATGTTGTAGCTGTCTGATGTCTTGGAAACAACCTAACCTTGGATGTTTGCAAGCAGTTTCTATAATGACCCTTAGTGAACTCACAGGTGTGTCTAAATGAGGACTCATGAAGCCGAACACTTTCCCAACCCTATATTTCAGAAAAGTTGCCTCGCTTTTATTTACAAAATGAGGTACGTGCCAGTCCAAATGAAGAGGTGGGTTCTCTTTCATGTTTGCAAGAGATGCACATAACACTTTAAAATATATACATAAGACAAGTTATTGGAAATAGCAATTTCTCAAACTCTCCCTTTGCCATAAATTTTTGGAAGTAGTCAGAAGGTTCATAATTTAATAAAGATCTTTAGACAGGCTAGTCAAAGAATAGAACCATTCAGTAACTACATATAGGGGCTAAAAAAATAAAATATTCCATCATGACTTCCTGCTGTAAAAGTCAAGGCCAGTTCAGCCCACTTGGAGAGAAGATTGTGCCTCCGGAATTCGGTGTTTGTTTTAAAAGTTCCCTGGGTGGGGTAGGGGTGGGATGGTGACAAGTTTTCTTTTTTTTTTCCTTTGGTTATCTGTATTTCTGATGTTTCCACAATGGACATGCATTGTTCGTGTTGTAATACAAATAAACAAGAAGGGCTATTAAAAAAAGAAAGGGCTGATTGCTGCTTGGGCAGGAAGTGGCCCACCTGGAAAATCATGATGTGAATGAGGCTTTGCAAAGTAGTGGCCTGGTTTTAGGACTGCAGCAGGCTTCTGGGAAATTCCATTGAACAGGTGGTGGGTAGAAGATCAGCAGACAGTTTGAGTAGTCTGGCCCCATGGAACCAAAAAAATAACCTGAAGACAATTAAGCAAAAAAAGTACATCCATTGCTGGAACAGAGATCAGTGTAAGGAGCTGATACCCAACAATCTGTAAGAGGGACTGCAGATGAGTCAATGCACTTCAAAAACAAAGGCCTTTGCCTAAAATCCCAGGTACTCAGAAGGCAGAGGCAGGAGAATCTGCCTGGTCAACTTAGGAAGACACTATTACAAAATAAAAAATTTTAAAGGGGACCAGGAGATGTGACTCAGTGGTAGAGGGCTTGCCTAGCATGTGCAAGCCTCTAGGTTCAATCAGTACTGCAAAAATGGGAAGGGGGCTTCATTCTGAAGCTGGTGTGTTCATTCCTTTTTCAATTCTGCTTAGGAAATGAGAGAAAACCACCTTGGCACTTGTGTTGATCCCATTAAGTCCAACTTTCTATTTGTGTAGCAGCTTCAAAGTTTAGCGAATTAAACACAGTTCCAAAGAGGGCCCAGGTTGATGTAAGGTAAGGGTTGTCAAATTTCTTCCATAAAGAGCCACATAGTAAATGCTCAAGGCTTTATGGTTTCGCAGCAACTATAGAACCCTGTCACTGTAGTATAAGAGTAGCAATGAACAACACACAGAGGAAGAATATGACTGTATTCTCATAAAACTTTCTAAAAACAGTGAGCAGGCAGGATGTGGTCCACAATCAGTTTCCGATCACTGGCGTAAGTCAGTCACAATTACCCCATCCCGTTTGCCATTGATTGTGGCACCTAGGCTATGGTACCAGTTAGCACAGAACAATTTCCGGGGGTATTACTGATTTGGAGATAGACATATGATGGATGGGGCATTCAGAAGGAGGAAAAGCTTCTGTTTGATGTTTGGAGGAGAGGTTTAATCTCTCCCATCTCCATAAATAAGGAAGCACATAATCCTGATTGCTACTGGCAACCAGTGTACACCCATGAGAGAAGTTTGCCTTTGTATGAAGTGGACCCTGGTTGATGGATGCAAAGGCTAGAACTTAGATTGTTGATGATATCATTGTATTGTAAGCTAATTTAACCTTATTTCTTTCCTAACTTCTTGATTTTCAGTTATGTAAGCCTATAATTATAGCTAATGTATAAACTACTTTGAGTGGAGATTTCTGTTACTTACAGCTTCATTTGGTTTTACACTTGATCTTAGCCAAAAGGCCAAGAAGCGATTTTTCATTTGGTTTTAATAGTAAGAGAACAGGATGTTAGAATTTCTCCAATTAGATCAATACTAGGTAGTATTAGCTTAATCTTCCTGACATTCTTAAGGAGATAATTTAGATAAAGTATAATTTCCTTTGCCATGTTAATGTTTAAATTGAAATATGTAAAGGTGACTACTTTCAGCTTTGCAAAATAAGTACTAATCGCATATCCTCTATTCATTCATAGGGCTACCTCAGAGGGTTTGTGAAGAGCCTGGCAATGTTCCACACCTTGGTATAATAAAAAGTTCCTGCTGCTGTGAGGCTTATAGCCCATAGTAAAAGACAAGTAAAGACATAAATTTTAGGATGAGAGGTGATAAGTAACAAGAAGAGATACAAAGTGAAGAAAAGGACTAGAGAATGACTGGGCAGGGTAGGAGATGGCGTCTATGACAGCCTCCTACAGGTGGGATGAGCTTTGGATGGGTGGCAAGTGCTTCCTTGTTTGAGAAGCAGGAGGACTGGAGTGTCTGGTGTAGAGAGAAAGAGAGGGAACTCAGGAGGCGTTCTGAAGATATGGGCCAGTGAGTGTCACCTATGACCTCAGAAGCCATGTGACAATTTTGAGTTTTATTCTGAGAAAGATGGGAACCAAAGAGGGGTCACCAGCCTACACACTCTGACAATCCATCTGTCCCCAGCAATCCCATTGTAATCTCTTATCTGTAATCTCTTACTGTTCGTCGAGATGATGTAGAGTCCTAAACAGTTGAATGACCACTTATTAGACAGAACAGAATGATTAATTCAAAATTTAAGATTTGTGAGTGGTTGTATCTACTTGCTGATTTTGTAAGAACTCTGAAGTGAAATAGATGATACAGCATTTTGTTGTAAGTGATCATTGTGAGGGAGGTTCTTACTGAGATGTCCATTCAAGCAGAGGGCTCCAGAGAAGGGCTTGACCTGGAATGTCCAATACAGTAGCCACTTGCTGCATGAAGCTATTAAAATTAAAATTTAATCAGTTAATAATTTAGCTTCTTAATCACATTACATGTATGGTTACTGGTTACTTTATTAGGAAGCATAAATATAGAATATTTTTATCATTATAGAAATTTCCACTAGCACTGCTGCTTTAGAAGATATAGATTCTTTGAAGAGTCAGATTGACAGAACCTTTAACAAACTAGGCAAGCAAGTTACTCTGGAAAAAGCTTGGCTTCTGGGAAGAGGACATCTGATTACAGTGGATCAACTCTTTGGGAGCATCATCAGTGAGTTTAAAGATAAGAAAGAACAATAATAGTTTGTTTAGACATTCAAAAAATTACAAAATTTTCATGCCAGAAATTCTAAAGAGTTTTTATTTATCCTAGAACCAGAGGTTTAAAAAAAATACACCTGGGACAGTTTATGACACACTTTTTTTTTTTTTTGTACCAGGGATCGAACTCAGGACTTTGTGCTTGCAAGGCAGGTGGTGGAACCACTGAGCTAAATCTCTGGCCCACAGCTGGAACAGTTTAGAGGGAAAGATATAGAGTTTTTTGGTTGGAGAAAAATGTGCTAGAAGACATATTCCCTTAAAGATCGATATGCTAGGAGAGAGCAGACCCAGGCAGAAGGAATTGCACTCCACCCCAATGGGAGTGAGTAGACTCTGACCGGCGCCTCACCCCCAGGGGAGCACAGCTCAGGGCAGCAGAGGCAAAGACCAACCAACTAGTCTGCTCCTGGGTGAAGACACCACCAGAGGAGAGCAGGGAGCAACCAGAGCCCACCCCTGTTAACATTAAGTCCAATAGCCCACCAGACCCCCTACCATGTGGCCTACATCCAGCAGAGAACAGAGGGCTGCTCACATTCCCCATCTACCAACAGGAGCAAGGACATATCTTGGCTTGAATGGTGACCACAGTCTGAGAGGAACAAACAGAAGGTCCTCAAGTGCAAGGAGGGCATCAGAAATACTCATAGAACCTAAAGCTAGGCATACAAAATTATGACTAGCTGGATCCAATGGTGGGAAGAAACCACTCACTCTATAACAAAGGAATTTTTTCTTTGACTCAGTCTTTTTTTTTTTTTTTTTTCTATTTTGTACTTTAAAAAAAAATTTTATTTAGGACAGGATCTCATTGTGTTGTCCAGGCTATTCCTAAACTCACTAGGTAATCCAGGCTGGCCTTGGACTCACAGCCATCCTCCTGCCTCAGCCTCCTGACTGCTGGGATAATAGGCACACCCGGCTATTTTGTATTATTTTTATCTTTCCTTCAATGGGGTTTTCAGGGTTTGGGGTTTTTCTCCTATTTTTTTCTCTTCTTTTAGTTTCTTTCTTTCATTTTTTCTTTTTCTTTTTTTTGCCATCTGTTCCTCTCCAACTGTTTTCTCTGTTTATCTTTTTTCTTCTTTTTCTTGTTCATTCTTTCTAGCAACTGTCCTCTATCATTAATTTCCTTATCTTGTCTTACTTTTTTCTCCTCCTTTTCATATCCCATCAATTAATTTTTCAAATTTTGCTTTTTTCATTGTCCAGTTCCCCCACCACCTTTGCCTTTACTAGGATAACTTTATATATTTAGCAAGCTTTCTAAATCTGTATATTGTGCTATTGTTAGTAGAGGTAATATAGTTCCATTTAATAGATATTAATTGTAGGTCAATAATAGGTCAATATTTGGTTCATCTGAATGTTCACAATATAATTATAGATCTCTTTTCTATGGACAAGGTTGGTACTTTATTGGTCCTTAGGGTTTGTCAATATTCAGTTTGTATTTAATGATGAAAGTGATGCTGATTTTATTACTAGAGCCAAGGTGACACAGCTATTGCTATTAATTGGTTTTCTTGAGATGTCAATATCTAGATTGTCTCTGGGTCATAAGCAATATTGTGGCCCATTTCAGAACTGGGTACCAAGCCAAATATACTGCAATTTCCTATCCCAAGTAAATGGAGGTGACTGGATCCTGGGACAGAAACCAAGTCCAGTAATTAGCCATGCTCACTGAAAAGTAGACAATAATTAAAGAGCTCTCCATACTAGAAACAAAACTTTTCACTACAATAAACCCATAAGCCTCAACACAAAACCAACCAACCAACAAACAAAAATAGAAACATGAGAAGACAAAGCAACGAAATGTCCTAAACAATTTCCACCTCTTCCAAAGCTGATCCATGGGGCACTGAAGGGGAGGAAACCAAAAGCCTCACCTAAATTATTCAAAACAGTCTCAGGGGAGATAATGAAACAGTTCAATAAGGCAATTGGCAAGCTCACAGAAGATATAAATAACAAGATATTGGGCTGATTAAACAGAATGACAGTAGTAAAAAGATAGAAGAGTTAAACAAAACAATGAAAAACATGTATGCTCAGCATAAAAAAGAAGGAGAGTCCACAAAAAGGCTCCAAATAGAACAGGAGATTAAAAATTTCTATTGAGGGCCGGGGATTTAGCTCAGTGGTTTCACCGCCTGCTGCAGAAGCGCAAGGACCTGAGTTCGATCCCAGGTACCAAAAAAAAAAATTTCTATTGAAAGTGTGGGCAGAAGTGACCTATGTGAGATCAGAGACTCAGAATTAGAAGACAGGGCTGTTCTTGCTGATCACCTTAAAAACAACAAGAAGACATAAAAATAGATCCAACAGCTCCTAAATTATGCAAAAGAGATTAATCTAAGATTAATTGTAATTAGTTAAAAATCAGAAGATAATACAAATGCTATAAAAACCTTTTTACTGAAATGGTAGCTGGATATTTTCCAAATAAGATAAAAGAATTTAACATACAGATATATGAGGCATATAGAACCCCATTTTTTAAAATATAAAACTATTTATTGACCACTGTTCACCATTATTTACAATAAAGCAAACAATATACAGTAGGATAACACTCTGACTACTACAAAGTTATTTTTCTGGCTTCTGCTAAAACAGTAACCTGAATACTGAAGATTGAGCCTACATGTAAGGAACAAGTTCCGGTCAAAAAAAAATGCAGGTCAATAATTTAGATTATAAGTTTGTTCACTCATTTATTCTAGCAGGTCCTACATTGTGACCACCTCTAGCCACTCAGTGGGTTTCCATGACCCAAGTCTTAGACATCCATATATCCTGACTTTGAATACAGATTTCAACTTCTTGTAAGAGAATGGGTCATGAGGAATCTTTAATGTTCCCTTAACAAGTCTTCCTTAGCTAATTCAAACAAACCAGGTTTTGACTAGTTACCTTATTTGGGTGGGGAAGTTGTTGGTAGCGATACAATTTTTTTCAGGAATTTTGCAAGCAAACTGCTGTATTTTTGTAATTAAACACACAGATATGGATTCTGATATGGCTGCTTTGAAAATACCCACTTTAAGTTGTCCAATTAACCATAGAATCGTCTATTTAACTTGAAAGGTTATAAACTTTCAATTTAACTGTGATTTATTTCTTAGCTTGCTCAGAATGATAGCACCTCAAACATGGGCTTATCACCCATAGTTTTTGTTTTAGTGAATGTTTAAAAACAAAACAAAAACCATTTACATAAATATTTTATTTATACACACACAAACAAAAAACTCAGAATGGTCCTTAAGCATGTGAGCTAAAAATGAGTTCTGTTTGAGTTTGACTATGGATAATTTTCCCAATATTTAGAAAAGCAGAGGAAATATATCAGGCTATCAAATGCTATTTTTTGATAAAGGAAGCAACTATAGAAAGCTTTTTATTTGTTCAAAGTAACCAGTGCTATTGATATGAAACAAACAAAACCCAACAACTTCCCCAAATACTTTAAAAACCAACATATTAAACTTCATTTTCATTAGAATGCTATTTTTTCACACTAGTCACACTAGCCACAACCAGAAAAGACTTTTTTTCACACTAGTCACACTAGCCACAACCAGAAAAGAACCTCTTCATGACACATCATAATCTAAGTCCTGAAAGCCCAACACAAGAAAAGAATCTTAAAAGTGGTTAAAGAAAAATAATGAATCACTTATAAAGGAAAACCCATGAGAATTACAACAGACTTCTCAACACAAAGCTTAAGTGCCAGGAGAGGTTGGAGTGAAGTATTTCAAGCCCTAAAAGAAAATCATTTCTAACCCAGGCTGACATATCCCACAAAACTCTTTCAAAAATTGATAGAGAAATAAGATACTTTCATGAGAAAGAGCACCTAAAGAAATTAATGACCACCAAACCAACACTCCAAAAACTTTCTCAAGGATAAAAAGAGACAAGGAAGGTAACAATGGCAAAAGTTTTAATAGAATGAACACACCAGGTAGGGTGAGCAGTTAAGTAGAAAGGAAAGATAGGGAATCAGCAACAGGAAAATGAGGCAATGATAGGAATAAGTCAACACCTATGAGCAATAACACTCAATGTGAATGGTCATGATTCCCCAATCAAAAGACACAGACTGGCAAAATGAATCAAGAAACAAAATCTTATAGTATGCTGAATACAAGAAACATATTTAACCCAGAAGGAAACTCATAGCCTTAAAAACAAAAGGATAGAAAACAGTATTCCATGCCACAGGAACCTGAAGAAAAGCAGATGTTGCTATCTTATATTCAGACAGAGTGGACTTCAAGTTAAAACTGATCAAAAGAGGAAAAGGTTAGTACATATTAGTCAAGGAAACAATCCAGCAGGAAGAGGTAACAATTATTAACACATATGCACCAAATAACAGGGCACTCAACGTCATAAAACATTTTTTTGTACTATAAATATAAACACAATTATAGTGGGGAACCTTAATACTCCACTACCACATATAGACAGATAAGCTAGACCAAAAAAATCAACAAAGAACTATCAGAGTTGAACAAAACCCTTAAACAATGGACTTAAGAGATATTTGCAGTGTTCTACCTAACAATAGAATGCATATCCTTTTCAGCTGCACATGGAACTATACCAGGAAATTATATCCTGCATATTATCAGACCATACCACAAAGAAATTAAAAATCAAAGACAAAAGAAAACACAAAACTATGCAAATGCATGGAAACTAAACAATGCACTCTACACTAAATAATGGGTTACAGAAGAAATCAAGGAAGAAATAAGTCAGTTTCTAGAACTAAATGATCATACCAGAACTTATGTGATTATACCAGAACAATGAAAGCAGTCCTAGGAGAGAAGTTATAGTTGTGAATACCCACATCACAAAAACAAAGTGAGCCAAAATAAATAACCTAAAAATGCAACTGAAGATCCTAGAAAACTAAGAATGATCCATACCCAAAGCTAGTACACACATGCTTGTAATTTCAGCACTCAGGAGGCTCTGAGGCAGGAGGATTGCCATGAGTAGTCAGTGTAGGCTACATTTTGAGACTCTGCCTCAGAGAGAGAGAGAGAGAGAGAGAGAGAGAGAGAGACCCAAATCAATGCAATTAGAAATGAAAAAGGTGGAATTACAATGTACATTGACAAAATAAAAAACATTAAGAACTACTTTGCAAACCTGCACACCAATAAATTGGAGAACTCAGAAGAAACACATAGATTCCTAGATACATATGAATTATCAAATTGAATAATCCAATAACAAGCAATGAAATTAAAGCACTAATAAATAACTTACAACTAAGTGAAGCCCATATCTGGATGTGTTCACTGCTGAATTCTACAAAAACTAATCATGTTCCTATAAACTAATAATGAAACCACTGAGAAAGAAATTAGAGAAAAATATCATTCACTATAGTACCAAGAAAAATTAAACACTTAGAAATTAATTTAACTAAGGAAGAAAAAGACCTCTACAATGAAAACTACAGTACTCTGATAAAGGAAATTGAAGAGGACATCAGAAAATGGAAAGACATCACTTGTTCCTGAACAGGCAGTACAAATATGGTCAAAATGGCCATACTTCCAAAATTGATATACAGATTTAACACAATTTCAATCAAAATTACATGGTTTTCATCATAGAACTGGAGAAAGCAATCCCAAAATTCATATGGAACCAGAAGAGACCCAGTGTAGCAAAAGCAATTCTGGATAATAAGAGTAAAGCAGGAGGCATCACCATCCCAGATCTGAAGTTATATTAAAAGCTACTACGGTTAAAAAAAAAAGCAGCATAGTACCGGCACAAAAACAGACAGGAGGATAAGTGGAACAGAATAGAAGATGCAAAAACAACCCTGAGCACATTCAACTCTTTGGTCTTTGACAAAGGGGCCAAAACCACACACTGCAGGAAAGATAGCCTTTTTAATAAATGGTGCTGGAAATTTGGCTATCCACATTTAGAAGATTAAATCTATACCCATATCTCTCACCATGTACTAAACTATAATTAAAATGGACTAAAGATCTAAATGTTAAGCCAGAAAATACTTAACCTTCTGGAAGACAAAATAGGTAAAACTCCAGAAGTTATGGGTGTAAGCAAGGACTTTTTGAACAGAACCTCAGTTGCACAGAAATAGTTCCAAGAATTAACAAATGGGATCATATCAAGTTAAAAAGCTTCTGCAGAGCAAAAGAAACAACAAGCAGAGTGAGAAGACAACCAACAGAAAGGGAAAAATTTTTTGCCACTGATTCCTCAGACAGAGGACTCATTTCTAGAGTGTATATAGAACTCAAAAAATTACACTCCCTCAAATAAAAGACCCAATCAAAAATAGGAAAGAAAATAAATAGACACTTCGCAGAAACAGTAGAAATGGCCAATGAACACATGAAGAAATTGTCAACATCACTGTTCATTAGAGAAATACAAATTAAAACAACACTATGAGGGCCGGGGATTTAGCTCAGTCATTCTGGTGCCTGCTTCACAAGCGCAAGATCCCGAGTTCGATCCCTGGTACCAAAAACAAAACAAAACAAAACAAAAAACACTATGATTCCATCTTACTCCAGAAAGAATGGCAGTCTTCCAGAAATCAAATAATAACAAATGTTTTATAATGCAGTTTACAAAGTTATAAGAGATTGGAAAAGGGATTCAAAAATCTTAAAATACTAAAGCTGGTGAGTATTAATAAATCATTTTAATAAAAGAAAATTGATCTTACATAGTGGAGCAAAAACTTCTAGAACATATAGATATTTCAGAGTTGGTTAAATTTACAGATGACAATTCCATAGTATGTTAATTATAAAATGTTAGGACATTTTAGACTGCTCGCCTAAACATTTAAGGGTAGTGTCATGGAAGCCATTCACTGCCAACACATCCACTGGTGCTCCTCCAGTGCTCTTGCAGTCCAGTTCTGATATGGGGATGATGGCATTTTATATGTTGTCATTCTTTAAGCTCTCTCTGTGGCTCCAAAGAAAAATCAACATTGTGGTTGACAGAACCTTTTAAAAGGGCTCCCTGAAAGGGAGCTCATTCATTTTTATTAAAACAATTTTATTTATAAAATTAATAAAAACTGCTCAGAAAATTCCATCAGGAAAGATTAGAATGCAGATAATATTAGGAATTTTTTTCTAAGATTTAGAATTACCTTTAGAAAAATATTGAATGCAAGACTAAAGTCTACCAAACCAACCAAACAAAAGCCTCAAAACTTTACTGAAAATATTTATCTACTAGAGTTCAGGTAATACATATTCATATGTGTATGCAGAATCTTTAGCAGAGATGTAACCCATTTTAAATTTGCCTGAGACACATGTATTCAATTCTATGCAAGTAATTCTGTTGCAAAACCAAGTGGTTGAATTCTGCTTTAACTGAGATCTAAGTTACTTCCAGGGTTGTGTTTATAGAGGACTCTTAAAAAGGCATTATTAGATTTGATAAAGCAATGGCAAACTTTGTTTTGCTGTGTATTCATACAACAAGAAGAAAAGATTGTCCAAATAATTGAAGCCTAAAATACATTCACTTAAATAACTTGATAGTGGAGACAAATGTCTCACTCTGGTGTAAGTTGTCTGAACCACTGTATTAATTTTTTAATGAATTAATCTAGGTAGACATATTGAGGCTAACAGAAAATTTTAAGATAGAGTGGAAGGTCTCTCAATTTTTTCTGTGATTGTGGCTCTTTTCATAATTGCAGTGCAATTGAGAAGTTCCACCTTTTAACCAAAATCAGATCCAATCTGCAGACTTCCTGCAAAAGAACCACCCAGGAATATTTGGGGATTTCTGGGCAACCAAGCCCTGGAAAAGCTGAACCCAGGGATATAGCTTCTAAATTCTTGAGCTCTTTCAGATTGCTCTGGTTCTTTCTACTGTGCTGAAAATGTCTTCCAATTATTCTAAGGCATTAAACTAAGTAACTTAGTAAAGTGCTCTTGTGCTTGGATTAAGGTTTGAGGCCAAGAGAAAACCATGCGGGACCTGATTGGATGATGCATAAGATGCATAAGAATCTGAAGTCTTACAGCGAAGAATGACCACAGGTAATGTGGAAAGGAAAATGTATTCCTGAGAGCCAAACTTGTATGTTGCTGGTCTGTAGAAGGGGGTCACTGTAGAACAGGGTGACTATAATAAGGTCAAGACATCTCATGTTTTATTTGAACTCTAACTGAATTTTTTAAATTGGAAGGATGTGTAAGTCCAGTAAGAGCCTGAATTTGTTTTTATGTTGTACATGAATAATAACTTGAATAAGGAATTAGCTTGGGTTTGTGAAAGGGCCTGGGTAGCCTCAACTTGAGAACAATAATAGCATCTGCCTCATAGAGGAGTGATCGGGAATGAACTCCAGCCCCCTGCAAAGGCTCCTGACACAAGCAGGATATTCAGTACAGCTTGGCTGTCTTTATTGTAACTGTCAAAATTATTAAATATTTAAATGCATCCAAAGCTTTCTGTTTAAGGCAGAGGATGGGACTCTAAATGCTACAGAGCTTTCCAGACTTAATAATATAAATTATGAAAGGTAGCAATGCTTCAGATTTAAATTTAGAAGCACATTTGGAAATACTATTTCTACTCTCATTTCTTCCTTCCAAAGGTAAGGGTGGGATCTCTGATCTCACTTCCAGCTTATCTTGCCAAGTCAGTGGGGGATACAGCCTGGTTCCCACCACTGCAACCCAGAGAAGAATGTTCACAGCACTGAGCTCCTTTGCTTCTCCTCTCATTCAAACCTGAGGAGCTGTGGTCCATGTGTAAGGCTGGTGAGGAACTATGGACAGTACTTTACCTACTGTCCTACATTTCACAGATGAGCTGATGACCACATTTTAGTCTAAGGGGGCACAACAACTGAAACACCCAGAAATCTATTAAACTCATTTAAGAATATTTCCGCCCTCTGTTTTGTTGTGTTTTCTTTGCCTGCTTTGCTTTTTTCTAAACATGTGTCCCTCTTCTTCCTGTTCCTCCTCATTTGCAATATTGTAAAACAAACATGGGATTTGAACATTTCTGGCTGTAATAGCTACCTCAAAAAAGATGTGAATATTACTCTTTCTGCACTGATTCCCCACCACATCCCTGGCCGGATGTATCGCTAGCCAACCAAAGGAAAAGGGTCAGGTCCTCTTAATGAATGAAAGGTGTTAATTACTTCAGTTCTAGCCAGGCCACTACAGCTCTCTGAAAACTTGCAGTGGGCACATGATATGTTTCTGCATAAAATGGAAGCTTGCCACTTCAGTCAGCGCTTTGCTTCAGAGAGCATGGTTTTCTGGAGTCTGGCCAGCCTTGGAGAATTTATGCAGCTGATCCGGGAAACACTGAACCATTTCCATTTATGGACATTTTCCTTTGCCTATTAAGAACAAAGGGAAGTTAAATTTTTTTCCTGATTACTGTACTTTACATTTAAAATTTTAATGCAAATGCTAACATAAAGAGAACTCTCTGGGCAAGATGTTTTAAAGGGCAGAGACAGCTATGTCTCTTGCTGGCACATTAATAGCCAGTGCTTCATTTTTTTATCATAAGTGAGTTTGAAAGCTGGTGACATGCCAGACATTCTTTCTGAAAGTTGACCAAGGTAATGATGGAACTCAAGGCAAAAAATCAACATGTCACTTGTAATTCTATTTGGGGCTTTGTGCTGGAGAGATGACAGTTCTGTGAACTGATTTAAACAGCATTGTAAAAAGTCCCTTGGGTAATGACTGAACTGTAAATACAACAATGGACAGAGGGGACTTCCAGGACCTCCGCCTTGCCAGCCTCACCTGGTGTCCTGGTACCTTCCCAACGCTGTGGCTGGAGCACCTCTGTAGGGCATTAACCCCACTGACACCAGGAGTTATACTCTGAAAGAATGTGGCACTTCCGAGGAAGATGAGACAAAAATGCAAGGGCTGACTTCCTAGAACCAAAATCTTAAGGTACGTTTGAAATTATGCCTCTGCCTCTAAGCAACCATTTCTGGAAGGCATCTCTTACCTTTTGTAAATTGGCAGTACAGATAAGTTTCTAGAAAAGGGTCCTTCTGTAGTGATAGGGTGGAGGGAAGTGTATTTCTGCCTAAACACCTTAAATGGCAACTTTTAATCAGAGCTCATCAGAAGAAGCATAACTGTCAAGACTGGACTCCAAGCTCTGGCTTTGGCACAACTTATGCAAACACTGATGTGTTTCACATGGTGGCTTTGCCTTTGCACATTTGAAGTCTCATTTTAATTATCAAATATATTTTTTGAGAGTTTCTCTTTTTTAATACCAATTTACTATGATGTAATTTATGGACAATTAAATTAAAAAGTCTTAAGTATACATTTGGATTGCTTTTGACCATAATCATATTTCAGAATATTTCTTTCAATCCAAAAAATATCCTGGGCTCCATTGCAGTAAGTTCCCACCTTTAATAACCACTGGTCTGCTTTCTTGCATTGTAGTTGTACCTTTTCTAGAATTTCCTATAGATGGGATCACATAGAATCTGATATTTTGTGTTTGGCTTCTTTCACTTAGCATAGTACCTTGAGATTCATTTGGTATTATCACTAGGCTGGTCCTTTTTATTGCTGAGTGGTATCAAGTTTACTTTTATCTAGATTTAAAAAAAGATGTATTTGTGTCATATAGAAAAGCAAGCAGAGTTTTATTGCTTTTTTGAAAATCATGTGTTAATCATAGGAATTATTTTAAAGACATCTTACCTTTACATTTTACCTGAAAAATAACATCTCAACCTGCCTCATTAAATAATGCAAAAAAATTTAAAATATTTGGCAATAAAATCTTTGTGTGAGAGAAATTTCCAGTTTTATTGCAAAATCATAATTTAATTAACAACTTCCAAGTAAATGTTGGTAATGTGGCATGAACCTGAATTAGGCCAAGAATTCCACAGAATTTCAAAATTATAATTACATAACCAGTTAGTAGAAGAATTGAAGTAAAATTCTCATCTTTCTCATATGCTAGTAATTACTGCAAGGAAAAACTGTTATTTAGCCAGTGATAATAAATATAACAATGACAACAATGTCATTAATACTTAACAATAGTAGCAATTACTATTATAGTTACACTTGTATAGTGCTTGGATATGCCTGAGCACTAGATAAATCATTAATTTATTTAATTTTCCCCCATAACCCTACTACTGGTAGGTCAGTATTTTATTATTATCTCCATTTTATCGATTAGAAAACTAAGTGCCTTCATAACAGGGAAGCCAGAATTTGACCATAGGAATCTCCTGGAGAGCCTTGGCTTTTGACTACAAGAGCACTCTTTGGACCCTGAACAAAGTGGGGGGACGAAGCCAGAGCAGGAAGGTTGTTTAGATGTGTGAAGAAGCTCAGAAGAAAGCAAGGAGGTAGGAATTGGGCAGTGCCAGTCTAAAGGCCTAAAGACATTTACGTTTTATGGAAAGGTTTAAAATTCTATATGCTACAAGAGGCTGATAGCTGGCATAGATCCCAAGGGCCTGTTTCCGATTTCTGCTTCTGGTCCAGGTGATGGGTCCTTTGGAGCTAATAGCTTGGGAAAATCAGTAGCGTTTGTCAGAGCTCTTTGTGACTTGGTTTTGTGGTTGTATGTCAATAGTCTACAATCTGGCCAGGTATAATGGCAGTTGATAAACAACCTTTGATTGTATGTTCAATTCATTCCCTATCATGACTTTGTCTTTTTGATGCGTTTTAATCTGACTAACAAAGAGTTTGAGGACTGTGGAACCAGAGTGCCTGGTTTTGAGTCTTGGCTTTGCCGCTTTCAGCCTGTTGCTTGACCTTTCCCTGTCTGTGTTTTCTCATCTGTGAGGTGGGAAAACTAACAGTAACCCAATTTGTAGAGTTCTTTTGAAGATTAAAGCATTGATATTATAAAGGATTTGCAAAAGTGACTGACAATAGGCAGTACCTATCTATAATATTATTATTATGCCTGCCCCAAAATGACGTAGAGGAAAAATTTGTTCCAAGTTTTAAGATATGACCAACTATACCAATCTGTGCATCTTCCAGATACTTTTTTCTTTTTTGGTAGCAGGGATTGAACTCAGGACCTTGCGCTTTCTAGGCAGGCACAGTGACACTGAGCTAAATTCCTGGCCCTTCCAGACTTTATTTTGCTTCTGCAGGACTGTCAGGCGTTGGACATGGAGCATGGCACTGTCTGTCTCCAATCTGCACCAGCTACTAGGAAGAAAAACTTAAGATATACGACATGTCTAGGAACTAGAATGTTAGCGACAACTGGACACTGAATTTTGAGAGAGAAGAATCTTTATATTATTTGTTTGAATAATGGACTGAATAGAAGATAATCAGGACTGGGATGAGAAAATTGGAATTTCTTTTCTACTAATTTTTTTGTGCTGCAGATTTTAGAGCACGTACAAGCCAGTTTGGAGCATCCTGCCTGCCTCTGCTGTTCTTCAGTGCTATATTCAGACTCTGGTTATACCTGAACATCTAGTTCATGCTCCATGTTCTGTACAAAGCCATCCAGTCAGCCCATGTTGGTCTTGATCACATGCATAAATTGAATTTTTACACCCTTTGACAATAATGTATATAGCATACATTAGCAAACATGTAGACATGTTTGTTGTTATCCATAAAATAGTTATTTAGTCAGTGAATAGGTACTTACTAGAAGATTTACAGGCCTTGTTGATGGGAAAGAGAAATACTTTGGCTAGATTGGGTTATAAATTCTAGTAATATTTATATCTCTAGCAAGAACCAACCTCTCCTTTTTTTTTTCTTTTTTCTTTTGGCAATACTGGAGATTAAATCCAGGGCTTTCACACTGAGCTATATCCCTAGCCCTTTTATCATTCTGAGGCAGGGTCTTTCTCTAAGTCACTGAGTTGCCCAGTGGGACTTGAATTTGTGATCCTTCTGCCTCAGCCTCACAGAATGCTGGATTACAGTCATGGGCTGTCATAGTAGGTTCCAAAGTACCCTCTTTGATACCTACCTCCCTGAATTATTGCCACCATCCTCTGTAGGGAAGAGACAGAGTAGAACCTACTAGGGTTTCCAGTTTTCTAGATGTTATTCGCTTCACCTAGCACAGGGGACTTGGATGGCACCACTAGTTTCAAGAAACATTTTTCAGTGGGACCATAGCAAATGCCATGAGAAATATGCTCTAAGATGCTAAAGTAATACAGAATCTGGATCTTCTTTTTTATTCAATTGAACAGAATATTTACTGAGCATTGAAAGTTCTAGATGCTGTACTCTTTTTTTGGGAATGCAGAGTGCTATCTAGTCTTCATAGGGAGGCTGGTCTGACCAGTGACTTAAGGAGCTGCTAGCCAGGTGATACACAGTGAGAGAGATCCAGGAGAGGAACCATTGGTCCAACTTGGCAGTGGTGGGCTGGGGCAGGGCTCCTGAGTTTCAGAGGTTGGGTGCCCAGGTGGGAAGGTGGAGAGGATGCTGTTGGGACTCTAGGACTGACCGGTCTTCCCCGATATCTTTTACAGCAGAGCCCAGGAGGGCTGCTAACTTCTTAGCCTGCGCCCTGAGACTGGGCCTCCCAGTTTGAGGAAGGGGCCGGCTGCTATCCACCTCATGATTTCTGCCCTAGACTAGCCCCAGGAGAGACGGAGGGCTCTGCCACATTCCAGAAGACGGATCCCTGGGCCACACCCTTGGCCCGGCCAGGTGTGCGCCCTCTGTGAGGCGGCGCAGTGGGGAGCCTGGCTGGGTGAGCGCGTTTGCGGCTCTGTGTGTGCTCTGTGTGTTTGTCTGGCTCGGAGGGCTGGGCCCTTCTTGTTCACAGGTGAGTCACGCCCTGAAACACAGGCTCTCTTCCTGTCAGGACTGAGTCAGGTAGAAGAGTCGATAAAACCACCTGATTACGGAAAAGGACTGCACAGCAGGGCGCAGAGGAGAACTCCCCGCAGCCGCCAGAGCGCCGGCAGGACCCTGCACAGGCGGCCGGCCATGCCCGTGCTCTGGCTGAGCTGCCTCTGCCTCTCGTTCCTCCTTCCTGCAGCCGGGGCCACCTCCAGGAGGGAAGGTGAGTCGGCCTCCACGCAGCCCTGGGCTGTGAATTTGCCTTTCTCTTCAGACCGCGAGGGCTGAACGCACCTCCCAGGATTCTCACTTTGTCAAGAGATTCTTTAGAGCGCCCTTCTCCTCCACATCTGGGGCTGTCCCAGATGGTTTAAAATGACACTAATGCTGGGTTAAGCTGTCCCATTCAAAAAACGTGAAGCCAACAGGCTGTGTTATTTTTCTTTTCTTTTCTTTTTAATGTTCCTTCTCGGTTCCTCCCCCTCCCCCAAGGAGCACCAGTTTAAGCAGTAACATGTGGGTATGTAAAAAAGTGTGTGTTTTTATTCATGGGATTTTGATGAGAATTTTTTCATGACTGGAAACACCACAAAGATTGAATAGGAACTTTTTAAATAATTCTTTTATAACTCAAGGTTCACTTTTATGATTAAAAAATGAGCCTTAGGAGTATTAGCAATACTCTTAACTTTTGCATAATGTACTTTTCATAGTGTTTTCTATAGTCACTCAAGAGGCATTTATAGGGCACCTATGTCATATACCTTTTGATCTTATCTAGGACACCCAGTGGCTGTCATGCAGTGAGAAATTACTTTCGTGTAAACAAAACTATCTAAAAACCTAGCAACTGTTTGCTGTATGCGTGTGTCAGCTAAGACAACTCATAACGGGGTTTTCCATGTGGCTAACTTCTATCCACCATGTTTTCCTGTATAGTTATGTTTACATTGGTTCCTGCATTTGAGGTATTTCAACAGATTGAAGGCCACAAGCAATTTTCACAGTGTATTGATTATAGTTCTTTTATTGTAAAATAGTCTTGGAATTCACTTCTACCCCATCATCCCTGACAATATTTCAAAAACCATGAATGATTGTCATAAAAAGGGTTACCTATGTGAAATGATGGGTGCATTAATCTTCTTGACCATAATAACCACGTCACTGGTATGTCAAAACATGTTGTATAGTTTATATATAACAAAAAATTACAATTTATGAAAATGGCCATGTAGGGTAGTTTTCCTTAGGGTTAGAATAAAAGTAACCCTAGGGAAAACATCCTAAAAGTAAGACTAGTCTGTGAATACTAGAATTAAAAGGGACTGCTTGTGGATCAACTAATTGGAATCTCCAGATGTAAAAAGTGAGCAGTTGGAAGTAGATTTGCTCAGGGCCACACAGGCAGCTATTGGCAGAGATTAAGCTGGCCTTTGATCCAGGGGCTCTTGGGCTGGAGTTTTAAAATCAGATTATAAAAGTAATAAGGGAACAAGGTACGTATTTTTTACATGATAGGTAGTTATTGAAGCAATTTTCCCCTTGACCACAATTGAGAATACCTACGTGTGTTAGCTTTAAGTAAAGAAAATAAATATGTAGGATGCTATCAGTTATTTAATAAAATCAGACTCAAGAGCACAGAGTGAGCACTCTCCTTTCTTAAGCATGTGCATCTGAACATACTGTCTGAGGCAGGTTCATTTTCAGATTTCCCCTTTCCTTAGAGATAGACTGCTTAAGATATTATACTTCCTCCTTAAAAAGCTTCATTCGGATGCTTACTGAGAATATAAAAAGATTGGTGTTAGGGTAGAGCACACACACAGTACTTTTCCATTCACAGATGCTGGAATGTGCTGAAAGTTGGACTGAAGGTGTAGTAACTACCTTGTCCCAAAGTAACCTGTATCTAGGGGTGCTATGGCTGCACACACAAGAGCCTGAAGCAGTGATGTTGCTTCTTGGTTGTTCCCCTGCAAATGGAATTACAGTAATGGAAGTAATTAGCCAGGGTTGGTCTCAGCTAAGGCATAGGTTTTACAGTGAGCCTAACCTTGCTAAAAATTTTGGTTAATTCAATTATTAGTTCTTTTTTAGGAATCTCAGGCTCCTCAGCTGCTTGGGGTCTGCTTCTTCACCTGTTAAACTGTAGCAATAGCACTGTGGAACCTTGTAGAGTTGTTGAAAAGATGAAGAATTATCATGAATTTCCTTAACACATCTGCAACCACATTTCTTTAAGAAGTTTGGAGCCAGCAGCACAGGTATAGTGAACTCAGATGCTCAGAATCAATAAGACAGGAGGTTTCTCTTCAGGAGCTCAGAGCTTGGTATTAAAGGATGTGGCAAGTAGCTCCAGTGGTCTAGATCATAGTTCCAGAGGGAGGTATGGCTGCAGATGGAGTGAGAAGCAGGTCAAAGTGCAACTACAGATATAGCTGTAAATTTGGTTGTGAAGGGCCTATGTGGCAGGCTGTATAATTAGGATGTGCCCTGTAGGCAGAGAAGAGCTCTGGAGGTTTTTGTAAGCAGCAATAGACATGATTGGTTTAAGTTATAGGAAGTTCACTCACAGGCCTGGAGGAGCTGAGAGAACCAAATGAATGTCCACTGCAGTGATCCAAGTGAGAGACAATGAAGGCTTTCATCCCTATGGTGGGAATAGCATAGAAGAAACAGATTACAGGCTGTAGTTTAGTGGTAGAGTGTTTGCCTAGCATACATGAGGCCCTGGATTTGATCTTTATCACTAGAAAAACAAAACAAAACAGAAACTGATTATACAAACACTAAACACTTCCAAGGTAAAATCTAAAGAACTTGGTGATCCAATGAATGTGTGTTAGGATGCAAGTAAAGAGAAATGGTCTGAAACAAGAAACAATCCAAGATGGAGCCAAGGCTTCAAGTTAGATAGCGAAGCCACTGAAGCCCATAAAGACTATTAAAGGAGGGTCAGATCTGAGAACAAGGTTGGGCATTGAGTGGAGAGGAGGGAGTGATTCCTGTGGGGATCTGTTGAATTGGAAATGCAATTGGAGTTATCCTGAAGTCTCAGGGAAGAGCCAGAACTTTGAAATTTAGAAGGGAATTATGAGATATAAATTTGAGAACCCATAGGTGAAAAATGAAAGCCTTGACCACAGGTGAAACTACCTGAGATGCAGAGGGGAAAGAAAGCACAACACCTAAAAAGAAGAGAGAGGAACAATGAAGGAGAATGAGTAGTAAGTGCTGAGGAGAGGGAGGAATCGAGAAAGACGAGCCAGTTTTCTCAGGCAAAGGCAGAATTTCAGCAATATAGGTGTAATAGTTGGTATCAGATACCTAAATATATGTACAAAGAATGGTGACTAAAATGATGCTGTTGGAGTCAGTCGTCAAGTGCATTTTAACTCAATTGTTCTTGAAGATGGGGGAATTCAGAATCCAAGATTGTTATAGATCACTAATTTGCTTTTTCTCATGCCTTGACATTGGGAAAGGGGTGCTGTGGATAGTAGAAAGGATCCTTGGAAAGGCTTATGTTCCCTCATAGATTCTATTATTTAAAGAGGTGAAATGCTATAGCATCATGCACAAAAGAGGAGGCTCTGGGGTAAGACTGCCCAGGTTGAAATATTAGCCCCACCATTGACCATTGTGGGACATTTCTATTGGGACTTGAATAAGCTACTCTGTCTGTTACTTAGTGTACTCATCTCTAAAATGAGGATAATGAAGTGTTGTGATCATTACAGGGAAAACACTACAGATTACCCAGCAAGCCCTCGGTACGTGTTTGGTATTATTGTTACACCTAGCTGCCCTTTCGTCACCCACCAACCCTGATCCTATGCAGAGTCATCAAATCTCTCACTCTAGAACATGTTCAAAACATAGGATGAGCCCATATAAGATAGTTTTTCACTTTCCAGTGGGAAGATCCTTATACCTCTCTCCTCAAAAGAATTTTGACCAACTTGATTATGAAAGCATTCAGCAATATAGATGCAGTAGTCAAATGTCTCTTTATATAATTTAGAAATATATTAGTCACACAACATATTTAAAGTCACATAATTTACAAAATAACAGAAATATCCATTCATTCACAGTTTTTTTTTTCTTGTATCAGGAATTGAACTCAGGACCTTGCGAGGCAGGTGCAGCACCACTGAGCTAAATCCCCAGCCCATTCATTCACATTTTATGAACTCGCTACATTCACTCTCTCTGTTCACCTTCAATTTTCACATGTTTATCACTCCTAAAGCTACTTTCATAAAATTTTTTTCTTTAATCTAAACAACCCGAGATGCAATCCTATTTAAATCTGTTTTTGATGGTGTTGCTGAATAGTACAGCATTTCCAAAACATTTAAAAAGTTTGAAGTGCACATTGTGGTCCTCCCTGCATGATCCTCTTGAACTTCTTTGTGATAACTTGTAGTTATCATAAATTGTGCTAGATAACTTGGCCTCTTTCTTATTAGTAAGTATCTATTACATCAATTGACATCACTTCAGTTTAATGTGTCTTCCCCAAACAATACTTAAATAATTGAGAAAGTGACCTATAATATACAAGATTTTAGAAGGATTTAAATGTGATCTTTTTTCATCCTAAGGGATAATTTTGGTAAAGTAAAATCCTCCACCTTATATTTAAGTGTGTGTAGTAAACAAGAATATAGAATTAGATTAGACCCTGGAGTGTGAGTTGGAAATTCCCATGTAGGCATAAATTCTGGATGTCATGAACTGGAACAGTCACTGGTTTAGTGCCAGCTCCACTGTTCCAAGAAACTGGAGAAATTGTTGATTTGTAATCAGTGTTTCTGAGAAAGTTATGACATAAAATTAAGATGTTGCGGCAATCCTAGGAATAGGTTTCCTATTTAAGTTTTTGGTGTCTCAGTCATATTGACATTTGTTTTTCCTGGAGAAATTTTCAAGGACAAGATTTGAAACATCTAGACCAGTGCAGAAATAAGAACAACACTGATTCTGGAATACTCTAATTTAGTCACAAAGTAAGCCAGTAGATTACTGAATCATTACTGGGGTTGTGTTCTAATATAATTCACAGATAGATGAGGTCATATTTGAATGCTATCCCAAGCCAAGTGCAGTTTTCTCAGTGTCTGTGGGTGACTGTGTGTCTGCATATGTCTCTCCTTGCTGGACAAATGTGTGCTTGTGTATGTTACAGTTACAAAAGTAAAAGAGAATGGC